AACCCCAGCGGCGCCGCCGCGCCCGTCCTCGGTTTTTGCTTCGATGAGGCCCTTCCCGGCCTCCGTTTGATACAATTTTTATATCACCGTGATCACAATTCTTTTCTCTACAGGTTGATCGGAGCCGAATCACCAAAACACGAACCTCGCTGGAGAGCCGCCGCACCCGAGAGCACTCGCCGCCGGTAAGCTTTCGGTTTTTCGTAATTTTTTGGCCCCCCGAGGACCCTAGGGTTGTTTTATCGCAGAGACCAATGCAAGTGTGGCCGAATTCGACCGGAAACAGCCGAAAATAACTAACCCGAGGCGAATCGCCGCCGCAAGCGGCGGCGCCGTCGCCGGAGCACGGCGGAGCCGCTGTGCCGGAATTGCGATATTGGTCGAAAGGGGCCCTGGGTCTAATTTGGGATTTTTTGGGACACGTGTAGGTACTATTAGTGCGTTTAAATTCCCCGGAAAAAATTCAGGAAAAATTAGGGACAGCCTGTAGGCGCACTGTGGAGCCGTGTTCGGACCCCGAAACAAGTAAGAACCCCTCACCCTATTTTCTATCACGGTATTAAAGTTCAATAAATGATAAAACGGTATTTCATGAATCAATAGATGTGTGAAATTGTTTAAGGTCGCTAATGGAGCCCGAGTCTGGTGTGTTTGTCGGTTAGCTGTTGTTTGGCCTATTTTACAGTTTTAAATGCAGTATGAGGTCTTATGTTTTCATTTCATAGTTTCGTGTGCATATATCACTGTTTTATTGATTATGGGTTGAATGACTTAGAAGCCGATGTTGTATTTTGGCTTGTTTGGCATGAATTACTGGTTGCTTGTTTGTGTGTGATTTGATGATGCTGACTGAGGAAAAAGGGAATGAAAGGTTATGTAAATTGATAATTGTATAATGTGGTCAGCCTGACTAGATATCCTGAGAGATGGTGGACGGACCGGGTCCGTAGGGAACCCTACCGGGATTGTGGTCTCTTATACCGGACGGGGTATGGAAACCTTGTGTTTTGGCGCCCATACCGGACGGGGTATGGGGACGGCCCGTTTCACCCTCATACCGGACGGGGTATTAAAGTTTATAGTTTTGGTGCCCATACCGGACGGGGTATGGGGACGGCCCTGGAATCTGATTACAAGTGTTAAAGATTCACGGGTAGCGGGATCCCTATGGATCCCCATAGATACTAGTAGGCTGGTAAATAAGGAAAAATATGTTGTGAAATGATTGAGATGCAAAAGGCGTAATAAGTATTATGTTATACAGTTCCTATGATTTCATGATGATGATAATGTTATTGCTTTCGTATATTGTTTTTATGAATTTCACCGAGATAAGTGGATAGTAAAGGATTTTATTATTGATAAAAGAATTTGTTGTAAACTATGCTCCATTGGTCCTTTTGTGTTTTTTACCCACCTTTACCTCCGTGACGGTGAGATAGTGTGATGTCTTTACTGGGCTGGTGTAGCTCATTCCTTATTTAATCATTTCAGATCAGGAAGATATTGTTCCCGAGCCCGTTCCGCAGGAAGACGGCGAAGGGGACGCCTGAAGACTCCGTAGTCATATTTATAGCTTTTATTTTCGAGTTTCTCTTTTTGTTAGTTTGTTCTTTTATACTTTGAGCACGTTTTTGGTTTTAGTGTAAGGGATGTTTAATCAAAATTTTTATTACGCTTCCGCATTTGACCTTTTTAATACACATATTTCATTTTAAATTTCCGGGGCCGTTACAACATTCTCGAAAGACCTCGCCACCTCAGGATCGCAGTTAATCATATTCTCCGGGTTGATGGCGTACTCGCGATTCAAGATGCAAGGGTCGCTTCAGTCATCAACATTTGTCAAGATGTCATTGCCAGCTTCCCCCTTCTCAGACTCATCTCTCGACCACGACTCGTTGCTTCTCTATCTGAGTCCTTCCTCTCTGCTTTCTCTCTCTGTGTCGAGTGAGCCAATTAGGATAAAAAAATTTTTCCTCCAAAACTTCTTCAACTTAAAGCCCCAACTCCCTCTCTTGGATTCACTGTGGCCTGCTTAATCAACCCATTTACCTCTCCACCCAAAACAATTTTTAAGGCCCATCCAGTTTGCTGGCTCGATATGCCTTTTGGGTCAAGTCACTCCCTAAACGACCATTCTTTACTGCATTTTGATGTCCCTTCTGTTGGCGGTCATTTGAATTTTTTTGAATTTCACTATTCACCCGCTTCACCTTCGGGTTTCGTCTGCCCTATTCGATTCCATGCTACTGTCTTCGCCTGGACTGCCGCCGCGTATGATTTTTGGGTGCCAAGAGAGATAGTGATCTTCGTCTTATAGTGAGGGCATTTAACTGTGTCAATCTCCCCACAGGGTATTTTCTCTTTGTTTTCCGCACATCTTGTTGACTGATCATCCCCTTTTGACAGCTTATCAGGATTCACAATCTTCCTTTCAGCCAATCTGAACACAGATTGCATAACTTTCCACTAGCCACCTGTTTCAGGCCCGTTTGGGATGAATATTCGTTTAGCCTTCTTCCCATTCAGTTCCGAGACCTCTTCTGTTCGACCCTAGAGCAATGCATAGATCTTGCATCTTCCCTACCTTCGTCTTGCTGCATAAAACTCCCATTTTCTCCAATAGAAGTCTTCCAACGCTTCCAGTAACCACTCTATCTCATTCTCTTCCAGAAAAATGGAAACCCGAAACCCCTACCATTCTCACTGACCCTTAGACCCTTTAAGTCCTTACCTTCACACACGAAATCAAACGATTTGCTCTCGATCATGACAAACTTTCTACTTTCCGGCCTCATATTGGTAAAATAGGGCTCAGGTCGGCCAGACTAACAGTGGACCTCAACCCTCAGTAGCCCTCAACCCTATGTGATTAGACAAGACAATACCATGCTAAAAATCTGTAGTTAAATTATGCACTTAAAGAGCATAAGCTGCATTCTTTATATTGTCCGAGTTTGAGGAAATCTTTTTTTTTTTGGGTCTACTAGGCCACGAAAACAGAAAATCCCTATCAGAAAATGATTCATCTTATTAGCTGCTAACTTTGGTTAGAAATTGCAGCAATTTGATGCCAAAAATACATTTTTACATAGAAATTTAGAGGAAGTATACACGGATATGTCAGGATATTAAGAGTAAAAAGTGAGAAAATAAAATGAATAAATTAGTTTTTTACATGTATCAATTAGTGTTAAGATTAGGGTTAATATTTTTGTAGACATCTTCATCACACCAGCCGCTGCGTCATGAACGGAAGTTGATTCCGACCGTTGATTGGAGTGAATTTATTGCTTCATAGCCTATAAAAGGCTATATTTCTATACTTGTAATAATCAAGGAAAGATGAAGGGGAGGGTATTGTTAGGACATTAAGGATAAAAAAAAAAATAATAATAAAAGGAGTAAATTAGTCTATTATATGTGTCAACTAGGGTTAATATTTTTGTTAGGGTTAGGAAAGAATAAGAATAATTTTGCAGATTTCTCTCTCGGTTTCTCTTTTCTGTCTCTCTTCTCTCATTTCTTTCTCAGATCAGATAGCCATGTTATAGGCTTCTGACAAGATATTCCACTGGATTACGAAGAAGACCTGGCTAGTTATACTGTATGTCAACTTAAGAAAGTCTTGTATGGACTCAAGCAATTACTATGAGCATTGTCCAAAAAATTTGTAAGAGGTATAATGGTCATGGGATATAAGTAGAGGCAAGGAGATCACACATTATTCATAAGACACTCATCTTCAGGAAAAGTCAGTCTTTCTAGTCTATGTGGATAGCATAACAGTGACAAAAGATGATGATGCGGAGAGCCAATGACTAAAATCAATGCCTAGCTAAAGAGTTCGAGATCAAAATACTTAGAAGGTTGAAATATTTCTTTTGAAGAGATCAAGCTCCGGGTATTGTACCTTTTGGTGGTAATCTGGTAACTTGGAGAACTAAAAAGCAAAATTCCAGCACATAAACTGAATTGTGTGTATGAACTATTATGGATAAAGATCATCATAGAAGATCTGAGGATTAGATGAAATAGACCAATGAGACTCTATTGTACTAATAAGTCTCCTATCAGCAACATGATTGAACGAAACATATTCAGTCAACAAATACTTCGTCAAAGAAAAATTAGAGAATGGACTAATTTGTACACCATTTGTGTCTTCGCATGGTCAGTTGGCTTATGTGGTTAATAAAAGGATGAGTAGCCTAGTGTTTCAGAATATTGTACCATGCTGAAAATGAAGAACAACTATTCACCAGCTTGAGGAGGAATATTGAAAAAGTGAAATCTATATATTTGTTCCTATTTGTAATACAGAGAATTAGACTTATTTAAATATAACCTTATTAAGATAGAATATCCCATAAATCATGAGATTCCAAATAATTAGATTTCCTTTTGTGTAACTATTACGATACTATAAATAAGTGCGTAATCACTTGTAATATTCAAGAAATACAAATTTCTCCACAAGTATCGGAGATAAAGGATCAGGAGAAACTGTAAGCATGCATAAATTACATAAAAGAAAATACTTTGCAGCCAATTAAATTATCATCTATGTTCAAACATTCAAAGAAATGGGGAAAAAAAAGAAGTGGAAGATGTGCAGTAGTTTTTCATGTATGTCAAAATGTTACATTTTATTCTTGATCTGTAGACTTGTATTCTTTTGATCTAACTTGTAAACCCCATCAATGCAGAAATACTTAACTGTTTCTTGATCTACCTGTGTGCCTGAAATTATTGACAATCATAAAAAAATAACAGATTTGAGGACATATTTAAGACTTCAAAGAATTTAATCTTCTGATATTCTATCACCAGTGTTTAAACAAGACTATAATTATCTGGATTCCTTTGTTCTGATAGGGGCATGCTTGATACTGTATATAGAAATTCTCTATTTTGCACTCATAATGGATGGAAAGTATTTTTTTATACAATATATAGTTTCGTACCAGATTTCTGACGATACCATTTTCTTGCAGGCGTTTATAGGACCTTATTGGTCTCTTCGAGCTGCCATGGGCCCAATTTTGGAAACATTAATCTTGCTTGATAGATTGTTATTCTTCCAGGAACAAGAAAGTTTAGTTGAAGCATTCATGTTACCGATTTTTGATCCTGCATTATCACCAAGAAATGTTGCAATAATTGCTACAAAAGTTAATACAGAAATGATCAACTGACCAAGTATAGTGGCTTTTTGCTAAAGAAAAGTCTTTCAATTTACAGTCTTTTATGAAAGCATTGAACCTCTCCATCGATGTGGTCATTCTATTCCTCCCGGCTCTCATGTGGATATCTACAAGCATACAGTAACTTGGATTATTAATATTAGCTTTTCAGTGTATACCATAATTTGTGAAGTTTACTCCTATTGTGATATCTTATCATGCCGTAACCTCTATAAATTTTGGTGATAAATGCATAATAATTCATGATAGTGTAATAACATTTTTTAATAATGGAGTGATTATCATACTACAAGTATGGATAACTGGATTTCTGATAGGATGTTACAGATAAAAGTTTGTTTCATGATTATTTGGAATAAATTAAGAATTTTGTGAATTCATTTGAAAATTCACATTTAATTCAACTAGAACATAGTGAAATCTTGTTCAAAATAATAAACGTTGAGTAGCAAAATCTGAAATAATGCATTTCAAATATCACAAAAGTATCATTGTGTTACGACTCCTTCGAAGTTTTTTGTTTCTCATAAAAGTATCCTTTTCTTTTGAAGGAAGGAATTAAGAAAATCCGAGATTGAATAAAGCTCTATCTCCATAGGAAAGAGCTGTAGACATAGAGTAGTATATCATTTATAGATCAGCTAAGAATAGTAAGTAATTTTTACAGGCAAAGGTCCAATAAGATTAATTCATTTTAGGTGAAGTTTGCGGTAGACAGGTGGATCTGCTTACATCTAAGGATGTGTTTGATTTGATTTTCATTTCACTCCATCTGAAATCTTTTACTTATTGATTAACATGTTTTTTTCAATATGAATTTTTGTGATTGAATTTTGCTTTTACATGCGCAGCATGTAGACGGGAACTGTGATAAAGAAAGCTGGAGGAGCTACTTGTCATTTCTGGTATGGCTGCTGGAATGAATTACAAAGTTGATTTTTCCCTTTCTGGGTTCTTGATTCTTCCACGATGGTGATAGGGATGTGGCTTTATATGCATAATGGCATGAAAAACCTTTGCTGTCAGTGAAAAGAGTCCCATTAAACCTTGTCCCAGTACAGACAAAGTACAGTTCAACAGAAGACTCTACTTTGTATGGTTTCAAATATGTACTCTTTCGCTCTCAATCCACTTTGCTTTCTCCTCTAAAGTGACTCATGATTGTTCATGTTTACACCATTTTTTGTTTAAGATTAACTCATCCATGTTTACACCACAAGACTCTACTTAGAGCTTAGTTTCGTTTTCATATAGAGTGATGTGCTTATCGTTTTTGAAATTATTGGGGAACATAGACTGCAACCAGTGACTTGAATTTTGACTGAGTTTGCAGATAAGGTTCCCTTCTAATTCCTTTCATGGATCACTAGGAATCTAAACCTTTCTAAATACCATTATTGATTTCTTCTGTTGACTGAGCTTGCGTATACTATCTGCTTAATTTCCCAGAAGTAGTTAGTTTATTACATTTCCAAACTTTCAATTGTCACCACCTGCATATCCTTTACATGTCAATATACCTACCCGGCACGGTATATGAAAAAGGGATATGGTTTAGAAATTTTTTGGTGATTTTTTATTTTTTTTGTACATATTTATAGAGTGAAGCAACACCATTCAATCAGGTCTCTGGGATATACTTCGATTAGCAATAAAATACATACATCAAACTAAAAATCAGTAGGTCTAGCGGATGCAGGCACCGTGTTGGCACTCACCAAATTGTCCGAATTGGTCCAGAATCTTGCTTTTCCCAGAAAAATTTTGAAGGAATTTCGAATCACTTTTGTTAACACACCATCGGCAAGGGTGATGGGCGAGCCAGGGAGGAGTCGAACTTTGTTGCGGAGGTCCGAAGAAGGGCGAAGAGATCAAGTTTTAGTCAAAATACTCTTAATTTGATCATTACCGATTTATTTTCAAGCAAAATAATATCAATTAATATATTTTGTATGAGCATTAGATGTTAGTTTGACCTTTACAAATGTTTTTGATTTAATCTGAATTAAAAAAAAAATTGAACTGAATATAAATATTTAATAATACTAAAGTCAAAATACATTGGTGTTCGATCTTTAGTTCAAGTTGAGAAATAAAAATTTTATTGTCGTCTTATTCGATTAGATCTCTTAATCAAATCGAATAAAATAAAATAAATTTAATTAATTTCTTTAATTATAAATTTAATACGTAATTTTATTAAAGAATATTTTCATCAGCGAATTATTATATTTGATTCACAATTATTTTGATGAATCAATTACTACTGTGAATGAGTTTGAAGATGTGAAAATAGACAAATGAATGCTCATTTATTTCTGGGTTATAGCTGGTGATATAAATAATATTTAATTTTGTTTATGTATATATATAGATATATTGATACAGACACCAGTTGATGACGTGGCTAATAATTGATGAAGGCATATAAAAATGGAAGAATACTAGTTTTGGAATTTAATCAGTTGAAGATAAAAGAGGAACGAAACCTAAAACTACACCTCAAATATCAAACACTAATTTACAAAATCATTAAATATTAATTCACACATCAACTTCATGATTAGTTTGTAGTCATCACTCATTTACGTGCCCCGTTTAAAAGAGTCTCCTATCTTACAAATAATCCATTATATACATACATATATATATATATATACACACACTTATCCATAAAGACAATTTTTTTTTTATTGTCTATTTATATACCCAAATCACTATTATAAATATATATTTATTTATTTATGAAAATATCTTTATCATTTTTCAGAAAAATTAAAACTTTAATTTTTTTAAAAGAATTATTATGTACTTAAAAAAGATAAAATAATTTAATAATATCACGAATTTGATATATAGTTCGAATTTGAAACAAAAAAAAAAAAGAGTAAATTAAAAATCTTTTATATATTTTCTTTCTTGAATGCATGATTAAATATAAACTGTAAAACACGAAGTTGTAATTATCTGAAATAATAATCCTACCCTTCTTTATTATTTATTCACGAAACTTTAACCCTAATTTGTTATAATGAAAAATATAACGTTATATTTCTTAATTTAGTATTGGTAATTTATAAATAGATATGATAAATATAATGGATACTAATTGAATTTTATTTTTATAATTTTTTAATAAATATTTAAAACCAACAAAACATAGAGTCTATCGACTTATCTGCAATTACATAGCATCTAAACATAATTACATACATGTAAATGTATACGTTATGAATACTGGTTCCATAGAGCAGTAGTGGGCATAGCCACTTCGGACAAGAAGCTGTCTGAACTTGCAGCTTCCGCCATGCTTGGCGATGTTTTGATATTGTTGGTAAGCTGATTCAAAACAGCTTTTATGAAGTTGTTATCAGAGCTGGAAAGATGATGATCGTGGCGATCTTCGTGATGATGATGGTCTGCAGTGACTGGAAGTAATTGGTTGGTAAAATTAGGGTTTTGGGAGAAAATGGAGAAGCAGGGCACTTGCTCATGATCATGATGTTGATGATGATGATCATGATGTAAGTTTGGTTGAGTTTGATCAAATGTGATGTAAGAATCCATTAATGGCGGAAGAGACGAAGAACAGCCTGTATCATCGAACCAGTTGCTTTTCATATTTCCAACATTTTCTCTTTTCTTGTAGAACACACGACACAGCACCCAATCTTCTTCATTCTAATTCCACAAAAATAAATAAATAATTTGTCAAATATTTTTCATCATATAATATATATATATATATGTTTTAATTTCTAACGTACAAAAACTTTATTTTTATATATAAATATACTAAATGAATATTTCCATTTACATCATAATAACAAAAGTCAGAAAAGAATTTGCAATTAATGATTTATTTATTAATGGAGATTAGGTATTTCTGATCATTTGCATCATCAACAGTGTTCCTAAATTTTGGGGTAGGCAAATTTTTCATTTTGACCTAACAACCATTTAATATGTATATATACATACATATGTGTGTGGATATATACATATATATTCATTTTTATATAAACTAATAGGACCCAATTTAGGTCATGACAGATATCATGTTGGGTTTACACAATACGTCATGTTACTGTAGTAATATGACATACAAAATGCTTATGTATATATATATATATATATATATATATAAACACTAAAAGGACCCAATTTAGGTCATGAAAGATATCATGTTGGGTTTATATAATATGTAATGTTACTGTAGTAATAGAGTATATATGTAGACTTTATATATATATGTGTGTGTGTGTGTGTGAAAGATGAAAAGACTTTTTGGAAATCAATCAGTCAAGACATTGACAAATATATTTATATATATATATATATCTATTATATATATGGTTATGATCATAAATAGTAGTGAATTAATAATTGCAAGATATCCTACCCTCATGATTCATGCGAAAGATTTGAGATCTTGAAAATATTCTAATTAATAAAAAAACAAATGCTTATATATATATATATATATATATATATATATAGGGTGTATACATACATATATATATAGAATATAATATTGAAGCGTACCTTAGGGGTGTGGGGTCCTTCGATTCTGAACTCATGCATGACCCAATCAGTTTTAGTTCCCTTTGGAGCTCTGCCTTGGTAAAACACCAAAGTCTTTCTCATCCCTACAAGTGTGGCCTTGCGCAGGACTGCCCTGTCCTTCCCTGTGGCTTTCCAGTAGCCCGACGCCGTCGCCCGGTTTGTTCTGGCTCCGGTCGCATATTTCCTGTCACGTTGACTGTAGAAATACCATTCTTTCCCTCCCACACATCCAGTTTCTAACCATACATCAACATATACATATATTATATATACATACATACATACATATACCTATATCAATCACAACTTATAATACATAAATATGTCATGTTTAATTCATTTATTCAAATTTTGAATATTCCAACTCTTAATCTTTACTAAATTTAATCCGATTTCGAATTTTTAAACACTCTTACTTCAAGTTCACTAAATTGTATATATATATATTTTAATATTATTTACGTATGCATAATATCAATCAATTAAGAATGTAATATTCTAGAATAATACTAATACAAAACATGATAAAAATTACTCCAATAAATTTGCCAAATTATATTTAAAAACTTGATTAATGATTTGGTAGATTAAAAAAAAAAAATTAATATTTGGAAAGAAATTATAATCAAATGAAAATAAGAAAATAGTTTGTGGGACCCAAAAATTATGTGGTTAAGGAGTCAATTCCAATAAAGAATTATTGAAGGCCACCCACATTACATAGTGATAATCAACTTTTGTTTTCATTTATTTGCTTCTCTTGCAAGGGTGGCAATTTTTGTCACACAAAATTAAATTAAATTAAATTAATTAATTAATTAATTATTCAAATATTTCTAATAATATCTTAGTTTGAATTTAAAAAAATATATATATATTTTTGTTAGTCAAATTTATTATTTTTAATTCATAAAATTCTTTTAAAATATAATTTGCTTTGTAAATAAATTAAAGAGTAAGTGAAAAGGAAGGAAAGAGTTAAAAAGATAACGTGATAAGAGTGAAGGTTAGATTAGTATAATTAAGATTATGATTAATTTTAATTAATTACTCTATAATTTTAAATTATTAAAAATTACGTTACTTTCTAATATAAAAACTAATATATTTAAGTACTAAAATCAAAATTAATGAAAAAATTGTATTAATCGTTAATTAAAAACACAAAATTATGTTTTATTTAATTAATTAAATATTTTAGTACAATTATAATTTAGTAATTTCGTAAATTTAATATAAAATTTGGTTTTTTTTTTTATTTTATTTATAAAACCTAAAGTAATGGAGAGGCACACGTGTGTGGTTGAATTATTTTTTTCTAAATCATTGTCAAAGCTTTTGGTTGGCCCAACTCTGTCAGTTTCTCCTAAAAGCAATTGAATGATACAATATATACATTATACTATTACTGTGTGTATACATATATATATATATGTATGTTTGTATGTGTGTGTGTATATATATATGGAAGATAATCAAAGGGTATTCTGTTCTCATTCCAAATTGGATTTTTTTTTTTTAAAATGGGGTTCGGTTTAAGTTTATCTAATCTCATCCAATCTGATGTGTATATAATTGTATTTTAGCTATAATATATATATATATATATATATATATATATATACAAATTGTAAATTTTCATAATAGATAAAGTGTGAAAGGAATATATCAAATATCTAAGGGGGAATATAAATAATACTATTTATTATATTTGAATTTGAGTTGAGTTCCAACATTAAAATATTTAATTTGTGTTCAAATCCAAGATGGAAAAAATATATTTTCAAAAACCCATTTTTATAATTTGTAAATACCAATATTGATACATATAAATTCAAACCCATAAATGTTGAAACATAATTTAATACTATTTTTAGAGATATATTAATATATATATATATATATATATATAAATTTGTACATTCTGATTGTTATAAAAATATTAGTAATAAATTTAATTATAAGTATAACTAAATATTAATCAATTTATTCACTAAAATTACGACAAAATTATTAAATTAATTTTTCGATTATTATTCTAACATTTTCATCTTTAATTCAAAATAATTAAATTATTTTTAATCCACCTTAAAAATCGTAAGAGACTAAATCATAACGAGTAATAAATTTTAACAACTGATTTCATCATTCGCGCATATATTATATATTATAATATGCGATATATATATGTGTGTGTGTGTGTGTGTGTGTGTGTGATATTTGTAAAGAAAAATAGAGGAGGAAGAAGAAGGGATATAGATATAATGGATATAAAAGTAAAAGAAATACCAGGAATGTCCCAAGGTTCGCAGCTGTTGAGATCAACGTCGATGAAGAAATCGAAGGAAGTCCGGCGAGTCACCTTCTTCATCAAGTAGTCGCAGACGAGTTCTTCGTCCTTCGGATGAAACCTAAACCCCGCCGGCAACTTCGATTCCACCATACTTATCTTGCTCATCATCTTCTTCTTCGATTAATTGCAGAGGAATAATTGTGTTTTTATTTAATTAGTTAGGATTTTAGTAGAGAAGCCAAGTTGGAGAACTAGAGGGTATACGTATTTACTACACGCACGAGCACATATGTATACATATTTGAAAAACACCAGAGGTGGTGTGTGTGTGTGTGTGTATATATATATATATCAGAATACTAGAGGGTGAATATACATATCTCAATTAGTTAGGATTTTAGGAGAGGAGCCAGGTGTGAGAGCGTTAGAGGGTGTATCTCTATATATATATATATATTTAAAATACTAGAGGGTATGCATATACATGTACATATACCTATATAAATATATATATATATATATATTATAAAGACAATTTGAGAGTAAAAGGTCAACTCAGCACACCACCAAATTCTCTCCTCTACAGCCACTCGCTTAGTTACTGCCAACTTTGCTCACGTTTCCCTCTCTTTTTCTACACTCCTATTTATTCTATGTATCTATACATCTACCTTCTTTTACACGTCACTAATTTAATTATAATTTATGTAAATTGAAATTCAAATATATATTTCAATGCAATTCCTCTCGTAGGCACCATTCATATATAAA